ATATACACACACATACACATATATAAACACAAATACACACACACACACACACACACACACACACACACACACTCACATACACACACACACACACACACTCACACTCACATACGTCCGGCACACACACACAAAGACACTTTTGAACAGGCTATAGTTGCAAGCCTCTTTTTCTTACTATTGATAACGACTCTAAGAAAAGAATGCAATTTTCCATGCAACCATGCAGTCTAAGCTGGAAGAATACCTGTGCTTAAATAATTTCACTAAAGCGGATGTGATGTTGTCACTGTTAGCTAATTTTGTTTTGTTGCGTTTATTATTGTCTTTTGTTTGTTGCACTGCCCAGAGCATTATTGTGCTCACATAAAACTTTTATGAGTTTTTTAACGAACAAACTTTCATAATCTGTGAACAGAAAATCACCAAAATAAAATAATATTTTGAGAACTGCAACCAGATAAGAGACTTGCATCAGTGCAGACACGCGTCAACTCCAAATGCAAATATCTCGAATTTGAGCTCGTTTGAGGGGTAACACGTGTTGTTGAAGTTGGTAGCAACATCTTGAGTTTAATCCCCCGCTACACGTTGTAACGCCTGGGTCAGTAGAGCCTCGATTTGAGTCGTGGTTAAGACGTGTCCACATTGATTTGCCATGTTGGCTCGCCAGCAGATTCCAGCTCTCTGATTGGTAGACGAGCTGCAGTACTTCGTGGCGAGAATTGGTGTATTAAAACTTGGTTTTCAAATCAGTCTTCCTCTTTAGACCCGACTCTTCAGGAACGTTCAGAAACACAGGTCAGTTACAAAAGCTAAATAGACTGCATATAACATTGAACTGTACACCAAAGAAGAACATTTCAGAGCAAGTACAACAATTTAATTTCATTGTTTTGACTTTTAAAATGTGTTTCAACTGAACTTTGGCAATTATATTAAATCACGTAAAAGACTAGTTTTTTTAAGTTCTGAAAAAAAGCCGCTTTTCATTCATGTGGATCAAATTTATTTTTGCATTTCCTTGGGCGCATAGCATTCCGATGTTACTTTGGTCCGCCTTAGTTAACTTTCTCTGTAGACATACTGCAGGATAAACTAGGCATCTTCCATGAATATCGAAAAAAGTAAAAGCCAACCTTTGGTAAGGAAGATAATAGCAGCAACGTGAAAAATGCGAAGCAACATGAAACGTCAGGAAGAATTGATTGACTTAATGATTAGCCAATGTTTAGCCTGTCATTTTACCTTTGTACTGTTTTCTTTACGGCTCTGCCGAGATTATTGCGGGAGAGTAGCTGCACTAGCTTTTTTAAAACTTACAAATTTACTAATTGCTGTTTCGAGAATGAATTTATGGTAAAAGTCAATTGGAGTGCCCCTCCCCCCTCACCCTCCCCCCACACACGTACTCATATTCTTAAAATAAGGCAAACTTTAAACTGGAAACTAGAAGTATTGTAAGCCAAATAAACAACCGTTTTGTACTTTCTTTTCATTTTTTTTATAACATTCGAACAGAATACCCAACCCGTCCTCGTTTCGTTACAAAACAAGTTAATCAAATACGCCCCTGTATGAATGGAATCCACATCTATGTATTTTTTCTATGTTTTTGCTTTTTGTCTTTATCAGATTCAGCCATGAAGTCAGTTTGCTTGTCAGCGGCCGTTTTGGTCGCCATCTGCGCATGCGCCTTCGCCGATAAAAAAGAAGAAGTCCAATGGCAGTCCAAAAAAACTAATGTAACAGTCACAGCAGGTACGGATTCTAACTCATTTCTTTTGCTATATATTATCTAGATGTACATTTATGAGACAATTAGAATATTCAAAAGCAGTAACAACTGCCGTTATCCTATCTCGAAGCCAGTGGCGTCGGTAGCCTTTTGGGTAAGCTACCGGACTCGTAATCGTGAGATATGCAGGTTCGTGGGTTCGAGCCTCAGCTCAGGCCGACGTTGTGTCCTTGAGAAAGGAACTCTACATGGATTTCTCTCTTGGCTCGCTCCTTTCGGAGATGGACGTTAAACTCGGAGGTTCCGCCTCTTAATTAACCTAACAGTGTTGACGGAGACGTTAAACCTATACCATTTTCACCTTAAAGTCATTTAAGGAAAGGTGAATGCAGCGTGGGACACTGAGTAGCAGTGGAATGTTGAGTTGTGTTAATATTTGCACGTTTACTTCCATGTTTGTTGATAAGAAATAGGAGCAAAATCGGGAATATGCAACTTCAGGCTTTCAACTGTTGACGTGTCCGAATAATAAAAGAACAATACAGTCGGAACTCTTCAATAGAAGGGAAACACAAGCGGTCAAAGGGCCAAGAACAAAAGTGCAACATCAACATCAACAACGAGAACAACACCACCAACAACATCAATAACAACAACAACAACAACAAAAACAACAACAACAACAACAATAACAACAACAACAGCAACAACAACAACAACAACAGCCATGACGACGACAAGAAAACTATACTTTTTTGAATTTTTCAACCTAAAGATTAAAGTCTTCAAGAGACAGAAAGACATACCAGTATTCATAAGACAACCAGATTAGCAGGTAGACGGTGGAAAATAGTTACGCTATTTCTATGATAAAGAAGGCCCACCTTTCCATTCGTATTTTCTCTTCTTCAGAGGCAACAATCGACATCTTGGTGAAAAACTACGACAGCAGTGGCGACCTCCACGGCACCCTGAGAGTTGCTCTCTTTGGTGAAGATGTTCCAATGACAGTCCTCAACTTTTTCAGCATCTGCAATGGAGTCAAGCGCCCATCTGTAAGTAATTCAATCATTATATGATAAAGCTGGGTTTCAACTGATTCTGTAGGAGTTATGTGCTTATGATGATGATGATGATGATGATGATGATGATGATGATGATGATGATGATGATGATGATGATGATGATGATGATGATGATGATGATGGAACACATTTTCAGAGACAGATATAACCGACATCCGAGAAAACTAATTTGATTATTGTATGTGAATTAATGTGCGGTTGTGCGTGAGAAAATTGTTCACCACACTTTCGGTGATGGTGATGTTAATGATGATTATGATGGTGATGATGATGATGATGATGATGATGATGATGATGATGATGATGATGATGATGATGATGATGATGATCAACCTATTCAGTATTTCAAAAATAATTAGAATGCCACTGTGTTTCTTCTACAGGGAGAACTGAAATATTCCAACACCTACTGCCACCGTCTGATCAAAGACTTGAACTTCCAGTGCGGTGATGTAACTGTCGGTGATGGTTCCGGAGGTAAAGATGCCCAAAGCTCTTAATTATCAGTTAACCATTTAAGTGCAGGAGCTTTTCTGTTCACGTTTGTACAGACAAAACAAAATGTTAATCCAAAATAGACTTATTAAAAGCAATATTATGATGTTTCCCCACATCAAGAACAAAATGCTGCACAAGTACATCTTAAAAAATATTCTCTGTGAACCAGTAGAAAAAAAGAGATTGAACCAGTTCAGGAGAACACAATTGAGTACACACACGTCTTCACAGCAGTGGGGAGGGTAACGGCACAGGCTTGCAATCCTAAACCTCTCACTGTCATGGCCGATACTCTTTGCTTTCGATTAAAAAAACAAAAACAAAAGAAACCAAAACCCTTTGCTGTTAAACAAGCGCTCTTTTAGCCACGCCATTTTGCCTAAAGTTGTCTCGGTATTGTCACGTGCATGCAGTCAGCTGATATCAGTAGGGTATTAAAAAAAATATTACGTTCGTTGCGGTGGTACACCTTGATTTATCTTACTTGTGAAATTGCCAGTTGAAATAACTCGTTGAAACTCATGATTACAACTTGTCAATTTCACTCGTAGGAGAAATCATGATCTACAATAACTTACGTTATACATTCTTTATAATTCGAATCTATGTTTGGCGGCAATCGGTTGCAAAAGATGCACGACATTCAATACAATAATGATTGCATGTTTCCAATCAAACGTCTTGAGGATAGAGCCCC